AGTTCGAAGCCAGCCTGGTCTACAGAGTGAGTTCCAGGACAACTAGGGCTCTTACACAGAGAAACCCTCTCTCAAAAAATAAAAAAATAAATAAGACAGAGAGGGAGAAGAAGAGAGGGAGAGAGAGAGAAGGAGAGAGATCAAATTTAGGTAAACAAAAATGAATAGGTTATTTGAAGGCCAAAAAAATTCTAAGAAATATTTCAAATGGATACGTGTGACAGAACCAAAGACATTATAAGTAGAATGTGGTTTAAAAATTACATGCCATAAAAACAAAAGCTTGACCTTAGAGACAATGTAGAAGAGAATACAGCAAGGCCTAAAGCAACTAAAGGTCCAATATCTTTTTCCATAAGAGACGACACCACAAAATACAAAACAAACCACTTACCTAAGTAAGCAACTGCTTTGGGAAGTGATTAATTAGTAAGCCTTGAGAAAGCCGTTCTAAATGACTTGGACAGTGTTGATCAAAAGTCATCCGTTTCAGAACTGGAAGGATCTGAGGTATCATCAGCTCCCCTCATTATCAATGGGAGAAACCGAAGCTTGGAAGAAAAATGAGTTATGGAAGACTCATCACAAGCTCAGATGAGAAATAAGGACAGTAGCTTCCAGATGCTTTCCCCAGGGCTCTTCCCACCATAGCCACTCTCTTCTGAACTGTATGCTATGTTGTTGACTGTATTTACACATAAAGTGTTTTTCTTTCATTCTAACAGCCTGTGGGTTGTGCCCAGACTTCATTTGGATGGTAAAAGTGGGCTCCCAAATTCATACCTTCCTTTCTACTTCATTTGTCCCTCATAAGAAAACCAGCTCTCCAAGTACAGGTCCCAACAGACTGGATCAGCTTTTGATATTAAGCCTGACACCATACCATGGCATCCTGACTCATTACTCATCCTGGATTTCAAAAGCCAGCTAGCATTCCATTAAAAATACTACCACTTCCTCATCCGGGTGAAGTGGTTTCATTTCACAGTAACAAGACTGAGGAGCAGGCAGGGACAGTGAATACACACCAGGCAGGATTATCTCTGAGCTACAGAATTTGAAAGAAACTGAGGCAATTGAAGAGAATACATCCAGCTGGTAGAGAATGTAAAATCTACAAACAGGGACCATGCAAAGTCAAGTACCTAATAGCAAAACATAACAATGCTATTTACTAGCTGGGCAGTGGAGGTACACGCTTTTAATCTCAGAACTGGGGAGGTAGACACAGGTGGATCTCTGTGAGATCGAGGACAGCCCAGTCTACAGAGCTAGTTCCAGGACAGCCAGGGCTGTTGCACAGAGAAACCTTGTCTCAAAAAACAAAACAAATGCTATTTACTAAACCTTCTGTCATGTGTTAGGAACTAGTCTAAGAGATTTACATACATTATTGCTAATCTTCACAACCTGTCCCATCTCTCCCCCACCCCACCCCCACCCCCGCCCAGAGATGTATGACACAGGGAGATAAGCAGTACCAGAATCTCTGCACACAGGACCTTAGAGGTGGCAAAATGGAGTGGGGAGGTGGGGCCACATCAAAATGACCTTTGGTTCCAAGCCTTCTTACAGAGCAGTAAGCACACTGTTAGCCTGTACACACACACTGAAGTTCTGAGAATGCCAATGTGCACACAGCATACTCGTCTACTCAGGTAAACCTCTCAGCACCATATGAAAACTGAGAACCCCAAAGATAAGTAATTCTCGGTGATAAAGCATGTGAAGATGGCCAAGGATGGCCCTTGAACTTAGGAGGGTTCACTTTCTATTCTATCATAAGACTTTATCTATAAATACCCTAGATTGCAAAGTACCATAGCAAATTAGTTGCTAACAAAGTTTACAAATTATATACAAAAAGACAATATACGTCTGAGAAGCCTATACAAAGTATTCTAGAACAGTATGCATACACATACTCAAAGCTGCCTACTGCAGGGCTCAAGAATGTCTTAAAGAATAAAAATGGCTTAAAGGGGAAGGGAATGAAGGGCACGAAATGATGGACTCTCTTAGGAGACTAAAGCTTGTTTAGGATAAGCTAGTGCACAAAGGTGCAAGAATTGTTGCATTATGCTAAGTACTAGGTTTAATGACTCAATGTAATTGAATCATAGAGTATCTTCATCATAATTTCAGAGCCTGAAATCAGTTAGGCTCAGCTAAGAGGCATTCCAGAACCTACTAAGATATGCAGGACAGTTCTTCTCTAGGATACTTACCTCTTAATTGGAAAAATTAGATGCATGTGTGGAAGAATAAAGGGCAGTGTATTCCATAAGAGTGGACTGTCAAGGAGCAGAGGACCTGAAGGATTGAGAAGGCACTGGACTTATCAAAAACAGTGGCACACTGTAAGCCAGCCCTTCGGGGGAAACAAGAGTTAGAGTTAGGGGCCAGACCCCAAAGTATATGGAGGGGCGATCTGGGAGGGAGGAAAATCAAATGCTGATAAAGCTATGGAGCCCCAGAGCTCTGGTTTCTGGTAAGCAACTAAATAGTACAGCCACTCTGCAAGTTAGTTTAACAGTGACTTACAAAATACTGATCCTAAGACCCAGGAATTCCAGTCTCACTATCTACCACGGGATTTGAAAATGTGTGCCCCACACAAATATGCAGACTTCCAGAGGCACGTCAGTTGTAACTGCCAAAATGTGGATGAAACCAAAATACTTAGTAGGTGAATGAAAAGACTGTGTGGCACTGTCAGGGCTGTTACTGAGCACCGACAAGAATGAACTGGCTGGGTGTGATGGTTCACACCTGTAATCCCAGCACTAGGGAGACTGATGCAGGACCGCTGAGAGTTCAAGACCAGCCCGGGCTACACAGCAATTTCTAGGCCAGTCTGTGCTACATTTAACCCCATCTCAAAAATTCAAAACAAGAATGAAAATACATGAAGGAAACCCAAACACGCTTCCTAGTGAAAGAAGGCAATCGGAAAAGGGCACCTTTCAGGTTCAAAGAGCAGAACTATGAAGACAGTGACAAGGTCACTGGCTCTTAAGAGAGCAATGGCAGCATGAAGCGACTCTGTGTGGGACTGGAATGGTCCATCCATGTCACTAGACTTTTATCCAAACCCAAAGAAGGCACAGGCACCAAGCATGAACCCTAAAGTAAACCACAGATTCTGGTTGACTGGAGTGTGCCAATGTAGTTTCATTTATTGTAACAAATGTGTCATTGGGGATGGTGAGAGCAGAGGCCACAGATGAGGGCAAATGGGACATCTCTGCACCCCCCTCTCAATTTTGCTGTGTACATAAAAGTAAAAGCCCACAATCTTAAAAAATAATAATAATAACTCAGTATACGGATATTCTTATAAAAGAGTAAACTAGACTGGTTTGCAAGGACATCTACAGAATACAATGAAATGCTGGGTAGCTACAACCAATGTGGCTTTATATGTACTGACAAACTTAAGTAAAGAGGGAATGTACAGAAAGTGTGTGCAGCACACCATCAGTGCATTTACAAAAGTATTTGTGCAAATACATCAGTATATGCTTCCATCCTCATGAGCTATCTACAGAAAGTCATAGAACAAAGTTATAAGTGGGTATCTCTGAACACACAGGTGAGCTAACACCAAGAGAGCATGCTCTGCAAAAGATGCTAAGTGTTTGGCTGGGAGATTTAGAAAGGACGTACACTCAAAAGCAGGGTTGCCCAACAGTGTAACTGGTGATATCTGAGACTAGATCAACCTTTCTCATGTGGGCTTTCTTGCCTCCTTTTAAAATGTTTACCATCAAATATGTGGCCTCTACCCAGCAGATGATGGAATTACTCTCTTCTCATACAGTGTGACTACCAAAAATGACTTTGGACATTACCAAATGTCCCCTGTGAGGCATAAGTGCTCTTTGTTGGAAAGCAATACTCAGAAGTAACAATAATAATAGTTAACTTACAAAACACTATTGATAACATATTCCTGTAAATTAATAACAAATCCAGTACATATATATTTAATGTCTCATAGTTAGATAGATAGATAGATAGATAGATAGATAGATAGATAGATAGATAGATAGATAGATATATGTAGATGTAGATGTAGATGTAGATGTAGATATAGATACACTTTCCATTCCCCTCAGATCTACAAGTGGCTGCCACATACCGATCACTTTCCCAAGCTGATCTCTGGAAGCCCCTCCCAATGCCGAGCAGGCAGGCATCCTATGTGCCTGGTCCTCCAGCGGCCTTCTTCCAATGATGCCCAAGCCCTTTTCAACCTCTGCAACTGCCTAGCATGAACTGAGTTACCAGCCTTCTCCATTCCTCCCACCCAGCCCCCCAAAACAACAGCTTCTCCATCCATAATCTTCTAGGATGCTAAGGAAGGCAGCCACACCAGAGAAACCTAACAGTCATATTTTGGCTCAGTTTTTAAAAAGCTAATGTAATTAATGACACAGTAAGAACATAATTGCTTGCATTATACAAATAATGTTTCTTCCTGTAATTCCTAAGGACCACACATAGTGCCATTGTTCTAACATCATGAAAGGCATTACTCCTGACTTCAAGGAAATTACAAAGACAGGGATTCATTATAAAGCCAAGAGAGGCCTTAACTAGATTCTCTAAATCATAATTCTATTAAGTATAATGCCATTTCTAATATGCCACAATGAAGAGGTGGCAGGAGTTAAGATACTCAACAGGCTTGAATGTTTTCAAACAGATCTAACACTGGCTGATTCTCCTGTGTCTCTGCAGATCCATGGCGCCCTGGCCCTCAGCTCCACGCTCTGAGGTCTCCAACGCTGCAGCCGGTGGGACGGTCTGGGTTTGTTCCATCATCATGAAATCATGCTCTTCAAATCCTAGCGCTGTGCTGACTGCTTGCATTTAGCTCTCGGGAGGTTGGCTTTTGTTTGTGGAGGAGACCTCGATGACCTGACTGCAATCAATACACCCATGAGTGGCTATGGAAGATGCTTAAAAGTGTCAGCGGCGACAAAGAAACTCACCATTCTAACTACTTCAGGGTAAGTCTGCTCTGTCAGACAGCCTCTGCTTATTGTAATGTAGTCCACCAGTTCATTAAGAGTGGAGCGCTTGTACTCTTTCATTTTAAGATCAGATAGCGTGTCCATGAAGTCAAAAATGACACAGCACTGCTGAAGTTTCTTTAGGAACAGTTCAGGCTGCTCTGAGGTTGGAACGTCTAAGAAAAAAAGAGGAAATGGTGTAAGTCTGTCATCAATTCCAGGCAACAGGAATTCTCTTCAAAGTTACTTCAAAAGCAAACCCAAAATAACAAGACAACAGTGCTCTTGTTAACACACACACACAGGCAGGAGCCCCCGTAAGTACCACACCAGAGACCCCCGAGTCTGAGAGCCCCACACCAGTCACTGTGTTTACTATCCTGCAACTGACTAAATCCCGAGAGCCACTTGGAGGTTAAAGTTTAGCCCCAAACACCCCAATGCCAATATCCTTAATATCTCAAATCAATGAGAAAGGCCAAACTTGCCCTTATAAAGTGAAGCCACGAGTTTTCTTTCAGTTTAAATTCATTCACCAAAAGACTGCAAAGCAGAAATATCAGTCTATTCATTTCATGCTGACATCCTTGGGGTTTAAAGCAATGGCTACAAGTGGGATTTGTTTTCAGCTTTGTCCTGGTTTTGTTTTGTTTAGGTTTGGGCTCCATGAAGTTGCTTTGTCAAAGAAACTTGGAAAACCAACCAAATGAAGCAATGCCAACAAGTACACCAAGGCAGGGAAGTGGCTCAGTCGGCAAAGCCTGAGGACCCGGGTTCAATGCCCACAGCCACAGGAGAACCAGGCATGCTGCTGCACATCTGTAACCCCAGCTGAGGAGGAAGGAGCACGCGTCTCCCCACGGCTTGCTAGCCCGGCAGCCTGGCCTAGCTGGTGAGCCCCGATCCCTGTGAGAGACTCTGCTCAAAAAACAAAGGGAACAGCTTCTGAGGAACAGACCCAAAGCTGACCCCTGGCCTCCACATCAAACACGCATGCACACACCCAAGCAGATACACACACAAAAAAAGAGCACATCAGAAGTGGTAATATAAGAACAAATTTCACTTGAATCTCTATCTTTTGACCCATGTTCTTCTTGAGCAATGAGAAAAACCTACTAGCATCTTTTATTAAAATGTCCCCAGAGGGTCAGCAAAATGGCTAGTCACGGAAAGGTGTTTTTCCACAACCTGACAATCTTAGTTTAATCATTGGAACCCACATGACGAAATAAGAACGCCCACTCTACAAGTTGTCTTCATACCTCTACACACACACACACACACACACACACACACACACACACACACACAGCTCAGACATTTGGCTCAGTGTTATTTCTAAAACTGAAACAGAAGTTTAGGGTTAAAATTCTCCAGCTAGGAAGGACAGTGATCCACAGCTGGCTAGTCCAGTTCCTCTCCTATTTCCTTCTACTACTTTACCCACCCCTACCCCTCTACTGTAGCTTCCCTTGAACGGCAATGAGAATTATGATCAGTGTGATGGTTTGAAGAGAATGGCCCAGAGATACTCTTATTTGAATGCTTAGTCCCCAGTTGGTGGAACTGTTTGGAAAAAATTAGGAGGTGTGGCCTTGTTGGAGGAGGTGTGTCACTAGGGGTGAGCCTTGAGGTTTCAAAAGCCAAAACTATTCCCACTTGGCTCTCTCCTTCTCTCTGCCTCCTACTTGCAGATAAGGAGGTAAACTCACCACTCCAGTACCCACCCTGCCTACCTGCCTGCTTCCATGCTCCCTGCCACGATGGTTCCTGACTCACCCTGGGAAACTGTGAGCCCCTAGAAATGCCTTCTTCTCTAAGTTGCCTTGGTCATGGTGTTTGTCGCACAACAGATAAGTGACACAATCAGGGTAGGCTCTGCTGCCATCATCCAAGTGCATAATTCATTAATACTGAGAATACATTCAGAGGTAAGCAGGTGGTGTTCTATTTTTAAAAAATAGAGATGATTATTGAGATTTCATGATAAGTTATGGAGTTGGGAACAGTACTTGGATTTAGCCACACATGGCCTTTGTGCTACTAAAAAAGGACTCCACAGATGAGCCAGTTTACCTGACACCTCCGAGGTGAATGGGAACAGAGAAAAAGCTTACTAATGGGACATCAGTTAAAGGTTAGAATCTTCAGGGAATTTTTAAGTACTCCGAATTTTGATAGCACAGGTTTAACAAAGCCCCCAAATTAGACTGTCCACATGGAGAATGCTTTCAAGTACATAGGAAGTCTGAAGCATCAGTAGATGACAGCTTTTTAAAGAGCAAACCATCATTCAAGCAAAAACAATGTCTGTGGTCACTCAACAGATTTACATATTTAACAATTCAAAACATTCAGGCAGTTGGCATTTAGAAGTTTTTTAATGGTAAGCAGTTAGAATCCATTTATTCATGAGAACTGACACATCGCAGACAAATCTGAAGCAGACTATATACTCACTAGATGGGACAATAACAACTTACTTATATTTATTAGATGTGTTAGGTACACTCTTTGTTCAAGTCTAAGCACTTAGACACACTAATTCTCATTTAATCTCTACAACAATATACATGAATGGGTGTTATTTTCAATTTACTACATGAGTAAATCAAGACAGAGAAATTCAGTATCTTGCCCAGAATCACACAGCTAATAAACAGTGGAGACATGATTCAAACCCAGGCTGTGTGGTTCCAGAGCCTGGACTCCTCTATACCATGCAGCATTCAGACACACGGAAAGGCTAAAGACTACAGTCCAGAAACAGGGTGCGCGCAAAGGCAGCGGCCGGCCGAAGCACGAAGAGAGAAGCACAAACGTGCTCCCAGCACGCCCCCAGTCATGAAGTAGCTCACTGGGCTCCTCCTCCAGCTGCCTCCAGAGCTTCCCAGGCAGAGCAAAGGCTTTGCTTTCAGTTCTTTATCCTTTATCACAGATTAAATTCTTCTAAAAGGGCCTCCCTTCATTAAAAAACTTAAGCAGTCAGGACAAACCACAAGATGCGGGGGTGTCCTTAAACAATTTTTGTAGTAACAGCTGAAACATTTTTCCCATCACAACCCAAGAATGAGCTACAAAATCGGTTGAAGAGCCAGGAATGCTTCTAACTACAAGGCTGAGCCAGGCTAACAGGAGCCCAAGCATTCGCAGGAGCCTGGGACTGTGGACAACGTCTGTCTGTCTCCCTTCCTCTTTCCCCGTGTCATCCCTCTCCTCTTGGTGGTGGTGGAGAGTGGAAGGAATGGTCCAAGCGAGGGGTCTTCCTGTATGGACTAGCTCTGGGACTGCACACAGCCCCAATCGATCACCATGTCCTCATCTCCCTAGTCCTGACGGATTGTGAAAGACAGGACTGAACAAGGACCAGAGGAGTGCTGTGTAGTCCACAAGATTTCAACGAAGCAGAAGTTTAATATCTATGGACCACTTCAAAAGCAAATATGCTCTTTCAAGAAACATTTATCTGAAAGGGAGGAGAGGGGCTGGAGGAATGGCTCAGCAGTTAGGAGCACTGGCTGCTCTTCCAGAGGACCCAGGTTCAATTCTCAGCACCCACACGGCAGCTCACAACCATCTGTATCTCCAGTTCCAAGGGATCCAACACCCTCACATAGACATACATGCAGGCAAAACACCAATACACATAAAATAAAAATAAATAAATTTAAGAGGAAGGGAGGAAGGGGGAGGAGGGAAAGAAGGAGGGAGGAAGGAAGGGAGGGAGGGAGAACTAGGTACCCTGCTCCCCTGCACTTGAAAAGAGGAAAATCTTCTAAATCACAAAAGGAAGATAGCATGCACACAGCCGGGACATTCTGACCATGATGTATAAGCAACAGTTGCCACCCACTTCCCAAATCCAAATCACCTGAACATCTAAACACTTCTGAAGTAGCTTAAAATTGGAGGAAAATACAAGACCTTTAGAAATAAATGTAAATTATTAAAATGTAAGGTCATCTTAGAATCCCAAGCAGGCAATCAATAGATCTGTCACTATTTTCCAATGGTATCCTTTGGCCTACAAAAGCTATCCTGCCCCACAGAGAGTTCCGTGGAATCATAACCATAAATAACAAGAAATTGATAAGTAGTTGTATAACAGCATGAAGGTCATTAGCACAATGACTCTCCTGACCAATGCCAGAGCTTAAAGGGGAGAATAAACTGGTCCAGTCACTACAGTGTGGTGAGGTGCCACCAGACCAGGTCCCAGCAATCCAGAAGGCCATTAGCGTTAAGCCCACCTCCTGAAGAGTTCTTGTGAAGAAGACACTGCAGTGAGTAGCAAAGTTACAACACACTGCCTTCCTCTTCCCTTTTGAGCAGTTGATGCTTCTCCATATTTCTATCACCATCTCACAGCATCCATCTCCCCATCAGCTGCCATCCCATCAACAAGCTAGAGAAAATGTCCAGTCTCCTACGGTGTGCACACACAGGTAATTTAGAAACCTACGGGCATGACATGTAATGGAAAAGTGACCACAACGTTCAAGAAGAGAGCAAATTCAGATTAAGAGATAATGTCTCTCTTTACACGCACGCAGAGCGCTCCATAGGATATCCATGGTTATTAACAGCCAGAGCCACTGTCCCTATCCTAGCCTAGAGAAGCAAAGAATGAGGAGTTCAACGTCATCCTCAGTTACATATCCAGTTCAAGGCTAGCCTTGGATACATGAGACTCTGTCTTGGATCAACGGATGGATGGAAGGACAGACAGGTGATAAAATAAAAAGTAAGGTCCAGCACAGAACAGGCTTGACACCACAGTCTGCAGTATCTGACCCCTCCATCCTACTTTGGAACTTTGCTTTAGGATGAGCAATCTCCTGACCAGGTATGTATACTAACAGTTTTCCTGACAACCCTTGACGACTCTCAACAAAATCAGTGAGACTTTTCCTTGTGGAAGGCATATGAGCCTATACTTAGAGAAACCTAGAAATAATGTCTCGGTTCTAAGAAGACGCTTCCTACAAAGCATTAAGGCTATTTAGCCCTAAAAGTCTAATACAAAAAATGCATTAGAGCATGTGGTAAAATGCCTAGCTGATTGCCCTTTGGGTCTGTCCAAATCATTTTCACCAATGTTACCTCTGAACACAGACCCAGGCAGCACCTTCTCTGTATAGCAACTATTTCAGGAAACCTAGAAAGAATTATG